TTCCTTTCTTTTTCTTTTCCCACGCACACGCCCCTTCTCCACGCGGTCGATCGCACCCCTCCGATAATAAAAAAAAAGGTCCACCCCCCCGTTTCCGCCCCAACCATGCCCCCGAAGGAAGGAAAGACGAAGAAGGCGAAGATGGCCGCGGCCAACAACGCCAGCAAGCGCTCAACGAAGAAGTGGAGCAAAGGCCAAACCCGCGAGGCCTTGCAGAACGCCGTGATGTTCGACAAGGACACCCTCGAGAAGCTCCGCAATGAGGTCCCGAAGTACAAATTGATCACCCCCGCGGTGATTTCGGACCGGCTGAAGATCACCGTCTCCCTCGCCGCCGCGGCCCTCAAACAGCTCTGCCGGGAAAGGCAGATCCGCTTGGTGTCGTGCTCGAGCAAACACCGTGTCTACAGCCGCATCGTCGTCGCGGAGGCCGCGGAAAAGACCAGCTAAAACGGGAAATGAGGTGGGATGAAATGCAGATGGAAAATATCCTTTAGGGATTTGTTATCCTCTTTTACCACCTCTTTCGATCTGTGAACTCACACGTGTCCTATTTTCTTGTTATTTTTACAATATTTTTACATAAATGTCGATCTGGAAAGGTTGGATTGAGGGTGACATCGTTGTATAGCGTTGGTCACGTATCATACTTTTGTAAAAAATTGATAAGTTTGCTTTTGAAGTATATCTATCTTTTGCTCTTTTTTCCGTTCTTAGCCTTTACCAAATTGTCAAAATTTTATGCATAAAGTCAAATAGTTCATTATTGATTCTGCTTGAAATTTACTAAGCACTGTTTTTAACGTTAATGCTTTATGGTGTTAATCGGACGATAAGTGAAATACCTCTTTGTCGTTCTTCGTGATAATATTATAAAAAAAAAGTTATTTCAGCACTACGTGGGCTCATCTCGAAATCGCTCGCGATTGTGGAATATTTTCCACTAGACTAAGGAGGCGAAGCGCAAAAGGATGACGAGCCCGATCTGCTCCACACATCTTAGGAAGGAGTCGAGGGCGATTCTTCCTTGCTCACAATATCATCCCATATCGAGGATATCAGCGCATTCAAAGTTTATAAAGAATAACCCTTGTGTTTACGATCCAGAAACGCATAAAGCGGTAAGCCCTGTTGGAAAATCTTCTAAAATGGTCTTAGAAACGCGTTCGTTGAGGCAGGGTGACGAGTTGATTCATACAAATACTGCTTTCATTTCTTCGCACGAAAACGAAAGCGAAGCCTGGCCTTCCACTTCATTAAAAGGTGCTTTGGAGCCCTTTTCATGTAAAAAGGAGACGGGTCAACGCAAAGTCGATAAAAATGAGAAAAAATTGGGACAAACACCCCGGGAAAATGTGGATGTGCACACGAATATTAGCTATGTTCGTTCGCCAGCTTCGGTGTATAGCTCGATAGAAACTTCCATCGTCGCCACGACGACGAGTTCGGCTTCTCTTAACTTTGTGAACCCCTCACTTTGTCCACCATCCCAACCCCACTCTTCGCCACCTCGCAGGAAAAGGCCAAATCCCCAACCAACCAACAACGAAAAAGACGCCACCACATCTCCAAGGTGCATCTTTCCTAAACCACCAAAGATCCATCCCGATATTTATATTATCAATGATGCTAAGGGCGCCATGGAAGCGGTTGAGCAGGATGGTCGAATCACGCGGGATTCCCGCGACGGCGTGAACCATTCTCCTCCCTTGTCGGCGCATCGAAGTGGACTTCATCATTCGATGCTTTCCCGGGATGCTTTGCTGCGATCTCGATTGGGATTCCCGCCGGAAGCCTCGGACGGGGTTGTCGAAACGGCGCCGAATGGTTTGGGTGGAAATCCATCCCGCGGCCCGAGCCCGCTTAATCGCAAAGAACTAAAGCCTCAACTCCAAACCACGCTGATTTCTATTTTTGATCCAGAAGATCCTCGCAGCGATGGTGTGGGCGTGGCGGATTTGGATTCCCAAACCCCTAGGAGGTTATCCAATTTAGTGGAATGCGCGTCCTCTTCGATAAACAACACCCGTTCTTTTAAGAAGCCTACGGCGCATGGGTACCCCGAGAATTCTCCCTTGTGTGGCTCCTCCTTCAAAAAAGATTTGCCCAATCCGAAAATTCATACCCCGGTCCCACCTGCCATAGTCGATATCGTTAGCTCTGGATCTGCGAATGACAAAACGGATTATATTTCTCATGGGCGGGAAGTAGTCCAAAAGAAAAGTGTGAAACGACAACTTTACAAGAATGATAAACACACACACCGGACGAGGGCCTCTCATCCCTTCATTCGACATCTCGATTCCTCCGATTGGGGGGGTATTTATCCTTTAGGGGGTCAAAAGAAGTGCGTGGAGGAGGACGACAAGGCGGAAGAGGCGCGGCGTTTGCGCCGTTTACAGAAATATCACCACGACCTCGACGTCATCCAAAACGGCGGCCGTGAAGTGGTGAAAAGTGATATGAAAAGCAGCGCCGACCTAACGCGGTCGCTTTCACATTTTCGAAACTGGAGCCGCGCGGTTCAGGATGGCCTATTCACCTTTCAATCCTTATTTCCATCCCCACGTTCAAGTCCAACTTCCGCTGCCATCGATCGCCATGATGTTGAATACCGCGAAGGCGAATGTCAGGGGGAGGAATCGCCAGAAGGTCATTCAGGGAAAAGCCCCATCGAGGCTGCCTTTCCTGTTCAATCCCCCGCTTTTCAGAGGGAAAAACCTGACGATGATAGACTGTTATTTCGCCCCATCCCTCGGGGGAAAAAATCGTCTATTACGTTTGAAATCGAACAAAGTCCGATTTCGGACTCTTCCATGAGTGATAGCAGCACGGACTCGGATTGGGACCTTCCTTGTCAAAAGCAAGGCGCTTTTTTGAAATCAAAATCGATCCCAAACACGCCTACGGCGATTCTAAAGTATAAAACGCAATACAAAAACCCGTCAAAATCCTTTAATGATGATGCGGAAGAGGAAGATGAGGATCTAAAGTGCTTCTCGTTTTATTCCTATGGCAAAAAGATTCAGGCGGACGCTGGGGGAGGCGAATGAACTGTGGAGGTATGCTCTTCCCCTGCGCAAACATTGAAAAATCCGATTAAATCGAGAATGGAAGCCACGCGAAGCAGCTTATTAAGACATTTGAATAGTAATGATAAAAACGAACAAATGAGAGGAGTAAAACAATAGGAAACAGGTGATCTGCATGAATTTCTAACTGCTCAGGTAAGCGTAGGTATAAATTTCTCTTAGATTTCACTACATCCGACACCCGATTGTCAGAGTGCTACGTGAAGGTCTATGCGGAACGTAGGATCAACCGATGTGGTAGCATATTCGCTTCAAAATAATCTGGAGCATAACACAGTGGGGGCGAAAATGAAGAGCTTATATTGAAAAGGGAAAAGAGGAATCCACTCTTATTCTTTTTATTGACATGTCAACGACATATTTGTTTCAGAGTTGTTATTCATCTACTTTTCCATTATGAATATATCTCCTTCTTGGAGTAAATATACATTTCATTATGATCAAACAAAATAAAACAAGGACAGATGCGATCTTTGGTACCCTGAGCAGGTACTATAGATTACAGATTGGCTTTTTATTCGAATTATAAAGCAGAATACGCTAATTTAACGGGATAAATATCTAAATTTGTACGTCTGTCAAGCAATTTGAGATCAACTGAAAGGAAAACGACGTTTTTGAGTTGTAGGAACAAGAACTTCATAGAAAAAACTGAGCCTTGAATATTATGGTAATGTTTTTTTATATCTTGGGTCAATAAAAATATTGAGTAAATGGAGTATATTAGCCAAGATAGTTGTTCAATGGTAGGATAGATTCAAATGCATTTCTGGGAAGTCTGTCTTTTAGCTAAACTAAAAGGTCAAAACAAGGATAATGATATAAAATTATTAGTGTTTATAAGCATTTACCATATACTACTTTTCATACATTATGTTGATGACCAACTTTTTTTTAATGAAAAAGAGACATGCCTGATCTGCGGTAAGTGATTCCTAACTTCTCTCTTTCTGGTTTATTAGCTTTATTTAAACCAAAGGTCGATAAATTTGACTTATTTTTGCCTTTTGTTGCGCAACATATAAGTATAACTGATGAAATTTTTATAGATTCTTATGTACATTAAAAGTAACTGACAATAAAACTCACCTCAGTGGATTAAGAAAAAATAAATAGAAAAGTAAATCAAGGTATGATTTTTTGGTGATATTGTTATACCATCTTTGAGTTTTATTCATTATCAATTTTAAAAGGAAATAGAACGTCTTATTTCTCCTCGATTTGTGTGTGCTTATGTGCATTTGTAGGAGCAATATTAAAAAAAACACTAGTATAAACAGTGTTACCTTTTTTTCCGTCCTAGCATAAACTGTGATCGACAATTAAACTCAGATTCAAGACAGTGTATATGCTTTCTAATAAATTTAAGTCATTTGTTATATTTTATGCTATTCATCAATGATAATTTCACTAATGTTTCTCATTTTCTATGTTGTACCCTCTTCTTAAAGAAAAAATAACACTGACTCGGTGTCCACAAGGAAAATATCTGAATTATCTAGGTTTAACTGAGGTAGTCTTGTCATAGAAGATATTATTGAACCACAATTATCACGAGACTTCTAGATGTAGTTTATATTATTAAATGAAATCATACCTTTTATTTCCCTTTTACATATCCATAAGTTACTATTAGATTAAGAGCATACAATTCATTCTCAATTATATCTTTTCTTATGATAAGCGCTTTTGGTAATCCCCCAATTAGGCACAGGATTTTCATCATATAGAACTACTACCGTGTACGCATTAAAACAAACAAACTGATAAGACACGATTAAACATAGACATATACATATATATATATTATTATTATTTTCTTCATTGACCTTTCTATCCAATGAATTCGGCCTCCCATGTTGAGTCCAAGGCGCTGCCCTGCGACGTTCTCGGCCGGCCGACGGTGGAGATGACCTTCAAAGGCCACCGCCAAGGGGTCCTCTGCGCCGCCTTTCAGCCCTCCCCCCAGACGGGGCCGCGGCGCGGGGGGGCCCGCCGAAGCTCCTGACAGGCGCCGCCGACGGGTCGGTGATGTTGTGGGACGCGAAGCCGACGGTGCGGGCGCTGCGCTTTCTCGGCCACCGCGGCCCGGTGTTGGGGGTGGCCTACAGCCCCCGCTCCGTCCTGATCGCGAGCTGCGGCCACGACGGCTACGCGCGGCTCGTGACGCCGAACCTGATGCGGACCTCGACGACCTACCCCTCCCCCTGCAGCCTCCAGCAGCGCGGCGAGGAGCGGGAGAACTGCTTCGCCTGGCGGGTCCACACCGGCGCGGCCCGGGCCATCGCCTTCGCCCAGGACGCCACCGACCGCCTCTTCACCGTCGGGGACGACAAGAGCATCAAGTGCTGGAACCTGAACTATGTCGCGAGCACGCACCGCGGGGTCGGGCTGAGCGGGGGCCACCTGGCCAGCCCCGCCCCCCCGGAGGCCTCCTTCGCCGCCGTCCACACCGGCCACACGAACTGGATTCGCTGCCTGGCGGTGCAGCAGGGGGGCCCGTGCCTCGCCAGCGGCGGCGATGACCAGTGCGTCCACCTCTGGGACACCCGCACCCGGCGGGCCGTGCGGACCTTCTTCGAGCCCAGCGCCAGCGTCCGTGGCCTGAGCTTCCACCCCGACGGCCACCTCCTCGCCAGCGGGGACGGCGACGGCGCCCTGCACCTCTTTGAGCTCCGCCTCTCCCGGGGCCTGTTACAACCCGGGGCGAGCGGGGAGAAGGGGGAACGGGGGGCCCTCCTCCAGCGCTACCCCGCGGCCCACACCGGCGCCGTGCACGACGTCAGCTTCGCCCCCGCCGGGGACTGGCTGCTCTCCGCCGGGGAGGACGGGATGGCGCGGGTCTGGGACAGCCGGGAGGGGTCGCTCTACTGCACACTGCAGGCCCACGACGGGCCCGTCCGCGCGAGCCGCTTCGCCGACGACGGGGACTACTTCGCGACCGCGGGGAAGGACAACGTCGTCGTGCTCTGGCGATCTGGAATTCCGACACGGAATTCGGCTTCCCGAGCCCCTCCTGCCCCGCACGTGGATCGTATCGATAACCCTTCAAGCCAAACTGATGGCCAACTACAACGTGAAATTGAACAGCAGGAAAAGGTTCTGACAAGTCACCTTACGGGTGAAGAGTCCAAAGGAAAGTTGCCGACACCTCGGCAGGGCATTCTCTCCAAAGAACAGTCATTGCGCAAAGCGAGCTTGTCGAGGCTCTCTGCACGTCCGACACCACGAAAGGACGTCAAAGCAGGGCCAAGCGAGGTACCCCCGAAGGGGGCTTCCGCGGGATCCTCTCCTCCTACCGCCCGTGAAGCCATAGTGTCTGGGAAACAACCGCCACAGCGCGAGCGTAGCTTTGAGCGGGACGAAAAACGTTATAGTTCGATAGGATCCCCATATGGCGTTCGTGATGGGGATCGTCAAACTGAAGATTCTGGCAAGGGTTCGTTAGATGCCCAAGAAAAGCAAGGACATGCTTATGAACGGGAGGGTAAGAAACTGGTGAACTTTTTTACGCATGAGGATGAAACAAAGGCATACCAAGACGAACCCACTCAGGGCAAGCGTTTGGAAAATGTCGAGCACGCACTAGCCTCTCTGGCGGGGTACTTCCATAAGCAACAGTCTCTAGTTTACCAAGAGATCGATAGTCTCAAAAGACAATGGCATACCCACAATGAGAAGCAGCAAGATGATATTCGGAATCTCAGCACAATGATGGAGAAGCTAATTGAACAGCAAAACGTGCTAATGAAGAAATTAGACACCAGCCCTGAAACGATCATGAACGGAAACTAATATTTTGATTACTTCGTCATGTGTAATCATCTACCTTTACCACAGAATATATTGTTGATTATTATTATTATCCAAAGATTCTTGTCTACAGTTGACGTATTCAAAGAGCTGTCGTCATGAACTAAACGCTTTGTCAACTCTTTATATTCCTTGTTGTGGTTTGATACGTAGCCTCTTTAGAGTAAATCTATAAATATAAATATATTGATACATTTGTATTCGTTCCAAGCGATGGTGATGTGTACGATTTTTTTTTTGCAACAAAAGTTGAATAGAAAGATATCCGTATTTATTTTCCTTCAATAGAAAGTATTACTGTCATTACTGAAGTTTTATATTCACTTCTTTGGGATATCGCTATTCTCAAGATGGTAAAAAAAAATTCATACACAATATTCTTTTATCGATCCATGAGGTTTTCGGTTATGAAATATTTATGCTTAGTTTGCTATATACCTGTTTTCATGAAGGTTGGTACAATTAAGGGATGTTTTTCTTTTTTCTACTATTCTCATACAGAAAACGACTATCTATCGAATACTGAGTCTATTGAAGTTGAATATAGTACAAAAAAAAATCTACAGCAATGATGACATTATATGTGATCTTATAAAGATAATTACTGTCATTTATCAATCCCTTTTGCTAGTGAATTCGAACCACTTGAAGGTTTGAGTTAAAATTCTTTGGTAGTCGAAATTTTCTTACTTTTGCTGATATTAGAGTGTGTTCTAGGTTTTTTTTAACAGTTTCGTTGTCAAAGCGAGAAACATATAAAGGACAAAAGAGTGAATCATATTCTTTGCTATTTTTCAGCTTTCAATTTTACCATAGATCAACCTTCTCATCAATAATTAACATATTTTATATTTTGTAGAGTTTAGCTGAAATCAATACTAGATTCATTAAAAACTCCTTTTTAGTATCTCAGATTATTATTATAACCGTTTTATTCTCCTTAATAGTAAACGTGTTTAGAGTTCTGTATAAATTGACAAATACTCTGAGTTTCTAAAAAAAAAACCTTTACAATGAACGATAGGAACGTCCACAGTCAAAATAAAAATAACACAAATAATGTCAAACCTGAAGCCACTAACGACAACTCATTCGGTGCAAATTCGCAGTCCCAAGACTCGATGCCATCCACTCTCGATCATCAGCATGTGAGTCCAGGCGATACGTCTTTTATTGAAACGTCGACAAACGGAAGAATTCAGCGAGAGAACCCATGGTTACCTTTTTTAAGGCCGATAAATCTCAGTGAGCGTTTAACCACGCCCCACCAACCCCCGTCTCATCGCTCTTCCGCTAATCATTCCAGCAAAAAAGATGGAAAGCACGTTGGGGATGGAAAAAAGGATCCTATCCCACCGAATAACTCAATATCATCGCGCCTTCCCCAAGAGCTACCATATCCCAGTGTATCCTCAAGACTTCCTGACGGGATGCTAGGGGATCGTGAAACCCGAGAGGGAGCCCCGAAGGACTCTCAGCTCCACACCAATCGTTCACCAAATAGTTTAAGTCGGCAGGATCCAAGCCGATTGGGCGCCAACGGCGATGACAACCGCCCTGTACCCTCCGTGTCGGCTTCACACTCTATTCGGCCGGCTGAAAGGAAAGGACCCCGCTCGGGTGTTCGTTTTAGTCCATCGGTTAATTTTTATAACCAACCCCACAACAATAATGCGGCCACGAAGGCTGACGAGGTGGAAAAGCTGATGGAGGTCCCCGATATTCCCACCCGCCCGTTGGACAGGTTCTTTGTTCAGTGCCATAACCAACCAAATAGCGCGGGTGAGGTTCCGCACCCCGAAAATGAGGATTTTGACGTCCCCAAAGAACTCCGAGACGAGGACGAGATGTTGCTTGCGCAATTCGCCCAGTTCACGGACGATGATTCCTTCTTTAGCGATTTTTCATCCGAGATCGAGGACCAGCCAAAGCGCGCTATCGCAAATACACTACACCTGCAATCGACGATATCTGCGCACGAGACGATAAGACTGCACTCTCTCACTAACGGCCGCTTTAGGGAGGAGTACGTGTGGAACCGCTTGATCAATGCACCATGGCTTTACCAGATCCACGTTAATGGCTCTGCGCTAGTGCACTCTTCCTTTATTATTTTTCCAGCCCATTGGACGCCGCGGATTATAGTGTACAATATTTTGCATCACTGGATTTATGAAATTATCCTTTTCTTTATGATATTAGGCTATTGTATCTTTCAGGCGACCTGGGCACGCTACTCGGTCCCAGAGGACAAAATGGACAAGCCAGGTTACATAATCGGTGCGGACGCCTTCTTTACAACTTTATTCGCAATAGAATTGTTTTTTGGTCTCTTTGCGAAAGGGTTCTTCTTTCACCAACGCGCATTCTTCCGGTCTCCATGGGGTTGGTTGGACACTGCGGTTTTCGTGTTGTTGATTATGGAGTGCACGAACGACCAGCGCCTGTGGAATTTCACGGCGTGGCGCCTAATTCGGTGCATAAAATGTCTTATGCGTGTCCCCCTACTCGTGGACATGAAAATCATGGCGAAATCCCTTCTCCGTTCAACAAAAGGACTCATCAAGGTATGTATCTTGCTAGGGTTCTTTATCTTCTTCTTTGCGCTGCTTGGTCTACAGCTCTTCTCAGGGGTGCTGCACAATCGCTGTGTAAACAAATTCACAGGAAGCGTGACGAACCAAATCTGCCGTACCGTCTCCACTGGCGAGTACTGGTTCTACTGGGGTTACCATTGCCGCGAAGCCCACAAGTGTGTTCCGGATGCTTTTCCAAACCCACACTATGGCTTCCGGAGCTTCGATGACATTGGTCATGCGTTGCTTTCCACATTCCAAATCATGACTTTTCAGGGCTGGGCAGGGCTCTTGAGAGAAACTAATGACGCTGTGTCCGTAGCGGCGTTCCTGTATTATTTTTTTGTCATTCTTTTGTGCGCATGGATTCTGCCCTCTCTGTTTCTCGGTGTGTTTATCACAAAAATTGAGAAGATTCATCGTCTTTTTATTCTCAAGCAGCTGAACGTTTTCAATAACATCCTGGATGAACAACGCCAACGTATGTGTGCCGCTGTCCGCCTAAAGGACTACATACATCGAGATAAAAGTGGACGCATCACACATTACCCGGCCTACGCTTCTAAACCGAACGACAATGACGCCTCGCAATACCGTTTCCCAGGATTGAAAATAAGGCACGGGTCTGTTCACAACACCCACTGGACGGACGAACGACGACTGCAGCTCCACCTTTCGCTCTCACGTCACCGTACGGTTGCCGAAGACGCGGAGCAAAAGCGTGCCGGTTTAACGCGAAGAAAAGTCTTGGAGAATTCCGTAACGTCTTCTTCTGTAAAAAAGAGACCGCAACGCTTCGACGCACGAAATGACACACACGAAAGCAGCACTATTGACATTCCAAAAACTGATATCATTCTATCCGAAAGAATATTGGAGCCTGACAATTTCGCTCTTGGTGGCCGCGTAGGTATGGTGCAACATCATCCTCAAACTCACACTATCGGAGCTTCACGGGCGTCAGGAGAAACTTTTGCAGTTCGACAAAATGCCAAGTCCAAGGAGTTGAATTTTCTAGAACCATATACCGATCACAACGATTGGAATATGCTGCCTGAGGATTATCATGAACACCCTGGGCCTCCGTTAGAGAATGATGTGAGGGAATCAAACGACATCCCTCAGGCATCTTCAACACCTAGTATCAATATTCGTGTAACTCGTGAGTCTGTCGGTGTGGTTCCTCTGCGGCACTCTATGTCCGAAACCACCACCATACCTCACAGAAGCGAACTATATTCCCCCAAAACAATTGATGATAGTCGAATGAACTTAATTGAACCTTCACAGCCGGAATATCAGTCCGATCTGGTGCTCATTCAGGACCCGGAGGGTGGGGAATTTTCAGTGACCGATACGTATTGGGGAAACATTAATATTGTTCGCAATATTGTACACATGTTCACCGAAGGTTATCCACGAATCTTAACTGAATACATGTGGAAGCATCGCATGATGCGATACAAGCACAACCTTCTGCCTCTCAAAATTGCCAACATGTATCAGGAGGATGCGATGCAACAAATCCAGCTCCGACATGGAAATCAATACACAAAGACTCAGGAAGTGATCCACAACTACGATATATTTCATGACCTTGATGAGCAAAAATCCCATGCTAACGCCGGTGGTGGCGTGAATCATGACTCAAGGGTTAAGAGGGAACCTGCTAAATGGAGCATGCCGCTCATGCGTATGGCAGCAAACATCAAGCAGAATGCCCCCATCACGAACTTTAACCTTTTTATATGCATATTGATATTCCTTAATGCTGTTTTAAACGCCAGCCGATATGAAACCATGCCGGAAGGCTGGGAAAAGGTTTTATTTTTTGGTGGCATTATATTTTCAGCATTTTTCTTTCTCGAGCTGTTGATCCGTATGGTGGCTCTCGGACCCGGCCCATTTTTGACGGATGTTTTCAATTCGATAGAATTCGTTGCGATTACACTCTCTTTGTTTCAACTGGGTTATAGCCGTGCTAATACCATATCTTTGTTTAACTGGATTAGGTTTTTGAAGCTACTTCGCGTGTGTCCTATCAGCCCCACTCGTCATGTCTTCCGAGTGCTCATTCGTGCCATTCCGGGCATAACTTACGGTATTATATTTTTTTCCTTGTATGCATTCATGTGGGTTTTGCTGGGAATGAGCTTCTTTGGTAGTCGTACGAATTGGATAGACATCCAAAACGGGGATTACTACACTCGTAGCAACTTTGAGACCTTTTCACACGCTGTTTACGCGGTTTCCCAGACATTCTCCCTGAACCGCGATCAATGGCTTTATCTTTCGTGGAACGGCATGCGCGTGCGCGGTGGATACACGATTTTGTATTTCATAGTCGCGATCTTTACCGCTTTTGTCTTTCGCCTTTTCTTTATCGCGATATTCTTGTGGGCTTGGAAGGCCCAATATGAGCACAGTGTATTTCTGCGGGAAAGCATAGGTGGAGAATATTCCAGAGTTCCCTCTCAAAGCCGTAGCAATCAGTCCCTTTTGCCTTGGTTTGACTTCGCTATATGGCGATCGTTCAAACACATCCACGGCGGCTTTGAGCGTCGTGATGTGGCTCCCGATGAAGTCTACTACATTAATGAGGACATGCAGCGAGAGCTTCAGTTCGCAAAATCCAGAGATAGCTACAATAAAACTATAAACGAGAGCGGCTACGCCACTGATCACACGCCGGTGGGACAGCATGTCTTCAACACTCTCGAAATTAGCTCACGAAGTGGGGAACCTTCCAGTGGTCCGCAGTACTTCAGCGTTGGCGATCAGCTCTACCCACGGAACGTCTTGTATGAGACGGATCACACGCCGCATCGAAAGACCTTCTATGAGAACAAGGCCCAGCTTCGCTTTGCACGCGAACGGCTCTTCGTCCGCGCGGAGCTCCACGGCCACGGTGGACACCCGGCCCTAGACACGTCGCCCGGCCGCGACGGCGTCGTCTCCCCGAAGCCCGCCTCCCCCTTCATCACCCCCTCTTTCCCCTCGGCGGACCCCTCCCAGTCCCCCCCGCCCCTTCCCCCGGCGCGGGTGCTGAGCCTGGGTGTTCACGAGGCGGGCACCGGGCCTGACAGGCTGGACGAGCCCCCGCGCCACCTCCTCCTCCCCGGGCCCCCCATGCGCTACACGACGATCCAGCAGGGCGCCCGACGCGTCTTCGAGCGGTGCCAGGACTGTAACGCGCACAAGGAGCGGCCCCTGCGCGCGGCCCCGGGCGTCACCCAGCGCACCGCGGACGACCTGCACGCGGAGCATTGTCACATGGCCGCTGTCCGGAGCGCGCGGCAGCTGGTGCTCAACACCATACTGGGTTATGTTCGTCTGAAGATTGACCACAACCTGTCACCAACACGACACATGATAGAGGTCGTCCTTGGACAGGCCTGGAGCTGCGGGATGCTGCTCTCGGAGAATATCGACAACCTCTCCTGCGTCGATAAGCCGCAGGCGGAGCGAAGCTGGGACCGCTTGCTGTCGGCGCTTGAAATTCAGAAGTGGTTGCTCGAGCTCCACGTGGGCGAGGAACAGGTCGGGCGGGCGACGCTCGCATATATTCTTGCACATCAGCAAAGAAAGGAAACAGAGACCCGGGAATCCGAATATAAGGAGTCGTGGAAGGACCACACGCTTATGGTTTTAGCACCATCAAACTCGTTACGTCGCGGTGCGACCTCCATCGTTGAGTCCCTGATATTTCAGAGATTTATATTAGTAATCATTTTTGTTTCCTCAATTTGTCTAGCTACATACACACCAGGAGACTACAACAGCGATATGGGGGGAAGCTACAACAGCGTCAAGTATAAATTTCTGCATCTGCTGGACGACATCATCATCTTGATTTTTCTTGCAGAGATGCTACTCAAGTGGGTCAGCATGGGTGTCATTCTACCCATAGGGCATGCCTATTTTTGGAGCTTGTGGAATATCTTTGACTGTTTTGTCGTGATTTCTTCCCTGGTTTCTTGGTTTTCGCAGTGGGTCTTTTTGCGCTACCTCAAAGTCTTCCGCTGTTTTCGTATTATCGGTTCTCTACGGTACTGGACTTGGAACCCGAGCATGATTCCAGTTGCTTGCACGCTCTGGGACAACATACCAATCCTTGCCAATATATGCCTCGCCATGCTCATGAACTATCTTGTGTGGGCCATACTCTTTACTTCCATGTTTATGAACAAAATGAACACCTGTAGTAATGCCAACATTACCAATCACACAGATTGCTCGAATAAAAGGTTTGAGTGGAAACCTACTACCCGAAATTTTGGAAACTTCTACGAGAGCCTACTCACTACATTTGAAGTCAGTACGGGCGCGGAGTGGCTCGACGTTATTTACAATGCGGTGGATTCCTGGTCAACAGAATTTCCACCCCTAACGAATAGACACCCATACAAGGGTCTCATCTTCGTAGCATACTATTATGTATCCCACCTTGTTCTTTTCACGTTTTTCATATCAGCCATGATTTACTGTTATTTTCTTTCCAAACGTACCACCGAGGGCATGAACTTTGGGCATCAGCTATGGTCACGCATAGAAGAAGGTATTTTGCGCATCAAACCTAGGATTCGCATGAGACCCAGCTCTTTGCCGGGATCTCGCTTCTTCCATTGTATCGTACGCAGCCCGAAGTTTGAGCTTTTCATGTCGTTTATTCTTTGGTGCAATATAGTCACGATGTCGCTTCAATGGTATCACATGGCTGACGTGCAAAAGACCACATTAAGAGTATTCAATTCGATATTTGTTGTATTTTTCACGCTCGAGGTGCTGATGCGGATTATTGCACACGGCTCACGCCTCTTCACACGCTGGGCATACTTCTGGGATCTGCTGGTTGTGTGTCTATCTTACGTTCAGTTCATTCTCAACACCACACAGACCCATCAAATGCCATTTGATGTTAATGTGCTCCGTTTGCTTCGCGTCACCCGCGTTCTTCGTTTGGTTAACTTCGTCACATTCTCCAGAATTAACCTAATGTTTATCAACGGGGTTCTGCAGGCTTCTGTGCCTGGTCTTATCAACGTAACCCTTATATACATGCTTGCGGTATACGTGTTTGCCATCGCCGGATTGCATTTTCTAGGCTATATCGTCCCATACGGTGGCTTTATTGACGGAAAGTATAACAACTTTATGACCTTTGTGAACTCGATCATTATGGTGGTTCGTCTGTCGACTCTTCAGGATTGGGCCACCATGCTGCGTGGCAGCCTCGATCGCGGTAACTACTGCGGCAAAGCAAACCACCGCTGTGGCCCAACCAACTACGCGCCGGTGTATTACATCGCAATTGTAGTTGTCTTCTTAATGATCATTTCGCTCTACATGGCGGTTATAATGGATCACTACATTTCTGCTGTCCGTATTCACGCCACCACTTGGATTAAGGACCTCTATCATTTCCGTGATTTGTGGTCCCGTCGCGATCCTAATGCGCGTTTGACCCTATCGGCGACTCAAATCCCCAAACTTTTGGAGGAGCTTCACCTCCCACTCGGCATCAACGACCTCCACAGCCGTGCGGAGCTGCTGCGTTGGCTGCGCGAATACGACATCCCCGTTTCTAACGGCCGCGTCCACTACTACGCCGTCCTCTTTTCCCTTGCTCGTCGCGCGATGCGGATGTCCTTCCCGGAAGAAGGGAGTCTGGGAGAGGCCTTCGGGGTGTCGTGGTATCTGTCCCAACGGCCCATGAAAACAACCCTGGACTTCCCAGCGGTGGGAAAGGAAGGGAGGGGGGCGGGCCGACACACCCTCGCGGAGTGGTACGCGGTGTCCTACATCCAAGCGGCGTACCGCCGAAACCGCGCGATGCGCAGCTACTTTATTGCGAAGTCCAAGCTCTGGAACGATGGGCGGAGCGAGTGCCTTCGCCTGGGGCTTCCCTACGACCACTACGGCTTTGGCGCGCAGAGTCTGAACTCGCCAGATCCCGCGGAGGACGGGCGGCGGCGCGGCTTCAATGTAGCCGACGAGGACTCCCCGATCTTCGCGAGCCACACCGGCAAACGCACCCGGAAAGCGAAGGGGCGGAGTCATAAACGCCGCACGAAAGCCTTAGTGCGCGGCGAGAGCGAGGGCGAGGCCGTTTCTCTGCCAATCGTCCACCACACCGCGATTCGACCTCAGGAAGAGCGCTTTGGTCCGAACGCGCCTAATGCCGTACGTCGACACGAACGACGATCAGAGAAGCTCAGACGGCGTCGCGAGCGCGAAGAACGGGAGGAGGGCGGGGCGCGATGGCGCGGGACCTCACATTGGACGACGAACGACGTCGCCATCCCCCGAGAAGGCCGCGTGATGAACCCTTTTTCTTCCCCAATGGGCAGAGTCCCGCCGGAAAGTCTGGCGCAAAGCGCACGTAATGATCATCCGGAGAAGTCTGCCAGCAGCAACGTGAGTAAGATACGTGTTATCACAGTCTCACCCCCTCTTGACCGTAATGACAGTAGTGTCCAAATGTCAAACCCTAGCAGCCCCAGCTACCAACCACCTTTGGGGACGGATCCGGAGGTGTTTCGAAGTGAAGAAATCGCACGTCGCAGTCGACCGCGCTCAAACGAAGAAGATTTTAATAGATCAAAAATCTAGTAATATAGACATGCACACAAACATATTTCGCTATTGAGGCGTTTTGATGCGCGTTCTAAACGAAACGATCTTTCTTTTCCTCATGCTGACGATCAACACAAGAGATAGGGCATCTTTCAAGGTGAGGTGGATATACTTTGTAGCTATTTTCTCATTATTTAATTTGAACGAACCTTAGGCGTCTAAAATGAGTTGAATAAAAATACCTTTCAACGGATATGTGACTTTTTCGGGACCATGAATATACATATTCCCATTCATACACCTTTTGTTATTCGAGGGTATTTGACATTTCAGTCTAATAAACATATCTCTTTTCATATGTATGTATATATATTTTCTCTTTACATGTAGCTTATTTATTTTTTTGATATTGACAAATAAGCACCTTTGTATGAGTTTAAACATTTAGAATTGTTTTATACAAATGTGTTTAGAGGAGTCTTACATATACAAAAAAACTAAGGGAATTGTACTTAATAGATTATGTAATGCTAATTAGTGCGCCACAGTTCTGCTCACTATTTTTTATGATTAATTTCTATCTGTAATCACACTCGCTATTCTGTTTGTAGAATATAATTTGAAATTGGTTTAGATTTCCTTGACTTCTAGAATGGGTTCGGTGGGTACATATTTGGGGCTGTCGTTATGGGTTTTTATTCATGCCGTATGCGTATGTGTGCGACAAGGTTTTCGATTGTAGTTATCCTTTAAAAACACCGGCACAGCGAATAGCAAACCCATTACGATGTCTCCCGTTATTCAAACTTTTGTGATAAACTCTTCTTTGTGTTTCCATATCATTTTATTAAAGATGAAAGTAGGGATTAAAAAACCTAACGTAGTCGCGCATTAAAGGGTCTAACATCTAATTTTTTTTCAAAGAAAACCCCTAACTGTAGTATATTTTGAGTCCAGCCATCGGCAGCGTCCTTGCTTCAACAAGGAAGTAACCCAAGTGTAATGGCCGCCATTACAGACATTATTACGGCCCTTGGCAGCCCCGATCCCAGCGTCCGCATCCCCGCCGAGCAGGCGGTGAACCATGCCAAAGAAACCGATCTATCCGGCTTTATTCTTGCCGTCCTGCAAGAATTCCGAGATGAGTCCAAGCCGCCTTTTGTGCGGAACATGGCAGGTACACTACTTAAGAACGCTGTCGCGCCGTCTTTGCGCGAGGTCGCCTCTAGGAAGCTTTTGGAGCAGAAATGGGCCTCCCTACGCGCGGATGTCCGGCAGCGGGTTAAGGAGCAGGTGTTAATCACCCTCGGCTGCCCGAGCCGTGAGGTCCGAAACGTCGCCGCGAACATAGTCGGGAGCCTTTCCCGGATTGAGCTGCCCTCTGGGGAGTGGAAGGAGCTGATTGGGATCCTCGTCTCCGCGGCGGAGTCGAACTCCATCCAACACCAAGAGGCCGCGTTAACCGCCATCGGCTACGTCTGCGAGGAAGGGAACGACCACGAGGACGTCGAGGAGGCCTTGAAGCCGCACACGAACTGCATTCTTTCCGCTGTCGTTCGTGGGATGGAGAGCAGTGATGACTCTGTGAGGCTGAGCGCGACGCGGGCGCTCCGCAATGCAATGGAGTACATCAACGACAACATGGAAAAGCAAGATCAGCGCGATTACCTCGTCAATGCGGTGTGCTCGACCGCGAAGGGCAGCTCCGACGTCCGCACGCGGGAACTTGCGATGGAGTGCTTAGTGAAGATAGCCGCGTTGTACTACAGTACGTTGCCGAACTACATCAACCATCTGCATACAATCACCACGGAAGCCATCGAAGGTGATGAGGAGGCAGTTGCCCTGCAGGCGATGCTGTTTTGGATTACAATTTGCGAGACCGAAAGGGACATGAAGGAGTCCGACGATCTTGAAAGTTGTCTGAAGTACTCCACGACGGGCATGGGGTTCTTGATCAATCTCTGCCTGGCGCAGCTGGTGAAGCAGGATGAGAACGGGGATGGCGAGGATGAGTGGAATTTCGCGGTGGCGGCGGGTAAGCTTTTGCAGTGTTTAGCCGAAGCAGTGGGAAGTCCGATTCACGAGCCCGTGATGCAATTTGTGTACGCCAACATCAATAGCCCGGAATGGCGACAACGCGAGGCCGCCTTGATGGCCTTTGGTTGTATTCTGGGCATTGATGAGAGCGATGCGCAGGAGGCGATGCAGGATACGGTGGCCCAGTCGATCCCTGGACTTCTAGAATACCTTCGCGACTCAAACCCAATGGTGGCGGATACGAGTGCGTGGGTGGTGGCGACCGTGTGTGAGTTCTTCGTGGACGTCTTCCTTCATCAGATCCAGCTCCTGCATAAACTGATGAATTTAATAGGGCCGATGATTACTGCCGATAATCCACAGATGGGCAAGCGGGCATGCCACATTATCCATAACCTTGCGCTGGCCTACGAGAACGAAGAGAATCAAATAACGAATGAGCTGACGCCTTTTTATGCCGATCTGATTTCTGTGCTGCTGCGCGCGATTGACGGCGGGTTTACGGTTAACTTCCGCAGCAACGCTCAGGAGACCCTCAACGCGCTGGTGGATGCAGCGGCAATGGACTGCATGCCCTACCTTACCCAGTTGGTACCCGAGCTGCACAACCGTATAGAAACCCAATCCAACCTCATGCGAGCGCAAATCGCCTCCAATGGGGATCTACAAGATATGGAAACGGCGCTGGGGTTGCTTTGCGGGGCCCTTGGCGCGGTGGCGCGAAAATTGGGCCCCGACTTCGTCAGCCTCGTCGACACTTCCATGCGGTTGCTGCTGGATTTGATCGAGCTTCAGATGGACTACGTCCAGGACGAGGCGCTGGTGGCGATTGGTAGCATCGCCTATAGTGGGAAGGCCGCGATGACGCCGTACTTCGCTCGCATCGTGCCGTATATCATTCGCTGTCTGCAGGCATTTGACGAACCCGACAGCGTCTACACGGTGGTGGCGGCAGTTGGGGATCTTTGTTTGGCCTGCGGGGCCGCATTCGCGCCCTACGCCGGGCATATTATGGACACGCTTTACCAAAACGTCCGCAACCCACAGGTCGATCGCGACCTCAAATGCTCCTTCGTTCATTGCTTTGGCGACCTGGTGCTGAACGTGCTTGGGGGTTCGGGATTTTTACCCTACATGAATGATCTGATGCCGGTTTTTGACGAAATGTTCCGCGCCAGTACCTCAATCGACATCCGAGGGGACCCTGACAGCGAGGAGTACGTCATGACGCTCTGGGAGGCCACTGCCTCGGTTTACTCCGCCATTATCCAAAGTTTTCAGAAGAACGAGGTGAAGAACCTCGTGCCGTACCTGTCTGGAATTCTAAGCTTCGCCCTGCACGCCGCAGCGAAATCGGCCTCGTACTCGGAGACTCTGATGGCGGTGGTGATGGTGGTGGGGGATATGGCGTCGGTGCTACGCCAGGCGCCGGATCCACAGCTCCGCCAACAGGCCAAGCAGGCTCTTCTTACCCCTCAAATGGAGGAGGTTATCACCAACGCGAGTCGGAATGTGAACCTTTCCAGCGAAGATGCCAAACAACTGAAGTGGATTCAAACCCAGCTGAAGTCTTTGCAGTCGATCTGAGGCAGGTTGGGTAACGAGCAGAAAAAGAGTTGAATAACAAAGAGGAGGGGAGGGGATAATAATACCGAATAACAAGCAGATATGGTGTAATCATAATTGAGGATAGATAAAGCGAGCTAGAAGAAATCGTAACAGCGTGAAAAGCCCCTCTTTGGATTCTGTGTTTCTAATTGTGTGAAAATCGATAAAGGTGCCATGTTAATAGATTCTTGTTAGTTGAAGAAGACGATGTGAAATCAATCAAAAGGATATCCTCCACAGATTGTTAAATTTTTTTATTTAATAACTTGAGTATTTAGCTTCTCGGTGAAGTATTATGGGGCTTATAGATGAAAGTGAAGAGCGGCTGAATAGGGGAAGGGTGAACATTATGGTACCTGATTTTAGATCTGAAGAACACTGAGGCGGAAGAATGTTTCTGTTCGATGCGTTCGTGGTGACCTTGAGTTGGTAATTAAATAATAGCGTGTGTTCCTTACACTTAAACCATTTAAAGTAGGAAGGATTCCCCAAGATATTTATTTCTTCACTTTTATTCTTCCTTCATTTTTAGCTAATATTACTATTTAGCTGACCCAAAAACTCGAACGGCTAAAAAAATCTGTTCCAGTTCATTTTCACATTTCCTAATCCCTCTTTTTATTATTTATCTTGGCTGATTGATTCATCTTTTTTTTTTATTCATATATATATATATACCTATATCAGAAAGAGACAATCAGCGTAAAGTGTACACATTATTATTACTATTATTAATATTCGATTTATTCAGTCTGTGCCTACAAGAGTGAGCGTAACAACAGACATTAGGGGTAGCACGCGCGATGGACGGGATCCCCCCGGAGTACGACGAAACCACCAAAGAGCGCATCTACCGTCAGGAATGGCTCGAGTACTTTCACTTTATCGGCTGGGAGGCGGCCCGGACGAACTACCCGGCGGAGTACTACGCCCTCCACCCCTTGCGAGGGGCGAAAGGTGCGGCCCTGCCCACAAACGCCCTGGCGGTTCTGAACCCGGGCGGGGGGTCCATTTTCTTCCCCTCAGGCCCCGAGGCGATCGCGGAGGCGGGGCTGGCGATGCCGCCGGCGGAGGGCCCCGTCGCCACGACCTCGATCGAAGAGGCCAAACTCTTCATCGACGACGGCGAACTGAGCCGTTCGAGCGGGGAGGACGAGGGAAGCAGCTGGTTTTCCTCCTCCAGCTCCTCCTCCTACGCCTCCTCGGTGAACCCGGACGGCGCGACCGCGGAGCCCAGGGCGAAGGAGCCGACGCGCAAACGAAAGAGCGCGCGGGAGGCCGAGCTGAGGGAAAGCCGACATCGGCCGCACAAGAGCCGGCATCGCCACCGCAGCCGCGAGCGGGGCGACGAGGGCGGGAAGAAAGGCCGCCGCCGAGAGGAGGAGCGGGGCGATTCGCATCACCACCGCCGACATCGCTCGCCAAGCCGGCATGGCAGTCAACACCATTCAAAGGAGGACCGCCGGCGCGATAAGGGTCGGCGCGAACGGAAGGAGTCCCGCCATGAGCCGCGTTCGCATCGGACGCGCCGCGGCTCGCACGAGGACCACACCGCGGTGAAATCCCGACGCGAAACCGAAAAGCGGGGCCGGGGCGAGGATGAGCGCGCAAAGGCCTATGATGATCGACGGCAAGACGCGATACGGCGAAAGCGCGAGACGTCGCGCCGAAAATAGAAGCAGAGTAGATAATGTGGATTGACTTATCCAATAGGAGGGGTAAAAAAAGATACAGAAGGCTCTAGAAGGGCTATGGTGGTTTAATTACATTTCTCTTAAGAGAAAATGGTCGGTGTGGGGTTTGTTTTTATATTGACGCATAATGCCATTGAACAATAGATTAACAACCACTTATAGTGTTTTTCACAGGATGGAATGCTAATAGCAATTGCATGTTGATTTCAAAAACATGGAAAGCATCTTGTTTCTTAATTTTATCCCTATTGTTGTGATTCAATCTACTACTTTGCATACCCGATAGGAGGACACATTGGTAAATATAAAATATAAAAGAATAATTCACACACAAGGAAGCATCACGTCGAGAGGTCGGTCGACGTTTGCTTGAATGAAAGGTAATAAGACCAAAAACGCTGGAAACTCCCCGGTGACGAGCCTGCTTAACATTTCCGACGTCTCACACCACAAGGCGGCCGCGAGCAAGGCGTTTTTGGAAAATCACTACCGCGACCTCTTACGCGATACCCGTCGAGGTGGCGTACGGGAGGTCGGCCCACGCGAACGGGAGCTCACTGCGAATGATTTTCATCTTGTCAAGTGCATAGGCCGTGGGGCCTTTGGAGAGGTTTATGTTTGCCGCCGCGTCGGCAAACCGAATCAGCTGTACGCCCTCAAACGACTGCGAAAGATGGATATGATTCGTCGAAAGCAGGTCCTACACATTCGATCCGAAAAAGACGTGTTGTCGGAGGCGGCCACCAAAAACCCCTGGGTGGTTCGCTTGTACGCGAGCTTCCAGGACGAGCAGTACCTCTACATGGTGATGGAGTACATGCCAGGGGGGGATATGATTTCGTGGTTGTGCGAAAAGGGCATTTTCGACGTCGCGAGCACACGCTTCTACATCGCGGAGCTCTGCATCGCCGTGAACAGCGTCCACGCCATGTTTTTTGTTCATCGCGATATCAAACCCGACAACATCCTTTTCGGGGCGGATGGCCACATAAAACTCAGCGACTTCGGCCTGTCGAAGCGCTTCGCGAAGTGCCGGGACGACGAGCCGCTGGGCTTGGATTATTCGGTCGACTCCGGCGGCCCCCGCAGCCGGGCCCGTTCGAGCTCGCAAACCACCCCGAATGAGGACCATTCGCGAGGATTGGAGAGCCAACGATCGCGCGAGGGCCGGGGGCCGGGCTCGGAGGACGCCTTGACGGATTCCCCCGCCTCGAATTCCGGACGATGGGGCGATCGCTCGCCTCGGCGGCGGCGCGAGATGTTTCAGTCCATCGTCGGCAGCGCCGGCTACATCGCGCCGGAGATCCTCCTACGCCATCCCTACAACCTGAGCTGCGATTGGTGGTCTGTCGGGGTGATTGTGTATGAGATGTTGTACGGCATCCCACCTTTTTACTCAAGCGATCCGAACACCACGTGCCATAAAATTATGCATTGGCGAAAGTATCTATGCTTTCCATCCGATAAGGGCATCCCGGACGAGGCCGTGGACTTCATCTCACGGCTCTTGTGCGACCCGAAGGATCGAATGACCTTCGATGAGATAGCCCGCCATCCTTTTCTCCAAGGGCTCGACCTGGATCACATGCAGGAGATGAAGGCCGCGTACACGCCGGTTCTTTCTAGCCCGCTTGATACGCGATACTTCCCGGAGATTGACGAAAGCACGTTGAGTTTGCCCGCCGTAGACGACAGCAGCACCGTGAAGGAAGTTGACCCACGAGGGGTCATGTTTGCTGATTTTAGATTTAATTACTATTCAAATCGCCGACGCTTATCTCAAACAAATGATACTTAATCGACACTAGCTTAATTTAGATGATAACTGTTGGGAAGGGGGAAGGAAGGACGCGTATTAGGGTGAATGAACATTATTAGAATTGGCATCAGGGCAAATGATAAAATACGGTTTTATCATAAGGGTGGAAATCTATTTTGGGAAGAAGAATCTAGACATTGAAAAATGTATGAAGAAAATTTATTAAATTCTCTTTGTGCTTCTGGTTTGAAGCAGATACCCGGACCTCAAATCTGGCAGGACCTTGATTGAGCTTTAGGAGGGATAATAATTAGATAATAACTGATCGAATCCCTGATAAGCTCTTAGAGCATCCATTTCACATCAATCATCGGATAGTAATGACAGATCTTATTACTTCTGGATGACTGGTTCACTAGAAATAGTACCTTTCATTAAAATTCGGAAAGGAAATGTTATATACATATATATATATAGAGATATATATATATGGTATACTATCACCTCACCCCCTATAATCACTCAGATGAGTTGAGAGAATGTGGGGATCGCTCATTATTTTATTCATTTGCTTATTTTAGGCACATTATAAGTGCTTTAGGTAATGCAATAATTATAGCTTTACGTGTTTAATACTTGAGTAAAAGGTGAAGTCTGCTTTTCCTTATGTATAAGTTATCTCAGACCTGATAATACTGAAAGAATAGAACAATAAACAAAAAGGAGAACACAATTTCATAGGGGATGAAGGATATTATGCTTTTTATTCGTTGATACTGATAACCATACAAAAGGTAACTTTTGGAAAAAAATCACTACTTTATTCAAATATGCAAATTCTTTTGAACTTTTTTATTGCTATACCGACAAGTTGATTCTGTTATACACGTGTGTATAACCTAATAACATGTGAGCACTATAAAATACAAATTTTTTACCACATATGAGTAGCATTTTTACCCTTCATGCACTTTCTCTTTTCGTCTGACCTTTTTGAAAGCGATTGATAATATGGTATTAAGAAAATTATTTTAAAGTTACTCATTAATATTGAAGAAAATATAAAGTCAATTTTCTATTAAAAGGGAAGTTCTAAAGTCACTGAAAGAAGGGGAGCGGTTGCGATTTTTCTCATTATCCCTTAGAAAAAAAAAGAACATGAGCCAAACTTGCTTCTTCTTCAATTAAATATTGTCCTCTGTTGGTGTCGCTTAATCACACTGGGAAAAGGCAACCGGTCGATATCCCGATTCTATGTCTGTCCACAAAAATGGTTTAGACTTTCCTTCAAAACATTACCCTCAAAATGGAATATCGGATGAAATTGTAAGCAATAATGGAATGACGAAATCTGAAACTGAGAAATCAAGTTTTCAACGCAATGATAACACACATCATGCAAACTTCGTCACTTCACCCTCAGCCCCATTCCAGATGAAGGATGCTTCCACTAAAGTGAATTTTGACGATCCAACGTATCAATCCGGTGCCTTTTTTCCTCATTTTCGCTATCGTTCGATCCGAGAAAAAGAGAGTGAAATGAATATCAAGGTTCTAAAGCATTCATCAGACGAAACTTTACATAGTAATCCCAATTGGTCCCCAAACTGCGCAAGTGGGGAAGAGAGCCGTGATGCCCTCTTTGTTTCCGTAAAGGTCTGTCGTGATCGGTTCCCGTTTTCAAAAAGGTTTCATTGCGAAGAAAAGAACATCAACAGGAGAGGAATCCGTGAAGGATCTTTAGGATTATCAGCCTCGAAGTTCTACACTTCAAGCCAGGACAGAGCACAGACAGGTGTTGACGGCAAGACAGGCCAAGCGACACCCACTCCGAGATCGGCCCTGCACACTCCTGAAGCTTCTGCGGGCAATTCACCTAGCCTTTTCACCTCCAAAAGACAGCCGCTGCCTCGAGAGGATTCGAAGCCTTCACCAGAAAGTATCCCAGAAGAGACCTTGCATGGAAAGCATCCCGTGTGTGAGGGTTTTGCTTCTGGTCAGGTTCTCCTTGAAAGCCAAAAAGATCTCCAACACGCACGCGATGGTGACCAAAGCGAAATCGATCCAACTGTACCATATACTACATCCCTCGTTCAAGAAACTTTGCATAATCGTCGAAAACACTCTGATTGCCGTTTCAGACGACAAGGTTTTGAGCTCTCCCAAGAAAAAGTGATTACCTCAGGAACTTTCTCCTCTTGTATACCCCAGGTCGCCATATGCTTGCATTCATCATCCACAAAGGAATTTATGGACCCTGCTCCTTCGCAGTTTTTGGCTCGGGAGCCCCAATATTTTGAGGATATCTCCATCATCCATGGCGACCCTCAATTAGCTGATAATGACGATAGTCTCATCCGTGATAGGGCGTCTGGAACGAGAACGAGTATTCAAAAAAAGTCATCTTCAAGGAGTCATGCAAGGCTTTACAACAATGCTGACGAGCTGAACGTGTCCCGCATTCCTCATAACAGTGGTTTTATGGACGAAAGTATTCAAAGTGCACACGATTCCTCATCCTTGAGTCTACTCGCCGATTGTCTTTGCCGAAAAGCTCGATGGCTTGAAGAGGAAAATCAGGCTCTACGGCGATGGTTGCACCACGGTTTGCATGACTACGGTGAAACCGCGACTTCCTTCCCCACAAAACCCGATCATCTTCGCCGTACAAACTCCTCACAAAGCCCATTTAGTATACAATCTACATCTCATCTGGAAAGTCCGAAAGCTATGCCACACAAGAGGAACCACTTTGTCGATATTACACCAAACCCCACCTCCAAAAATCAACATGGCAATTGTGAGGATGGCGTTGCTTTCTGTCAATCTTCGGCCCGACAAGAAGAAAGAACCACAGCCTGCAAGGCGACCGCATCATCCGCCTCGAAAATGCCTCATAGCGCGCAAGAAGAGAGGGAATCGACTCGATTTATGAGAAAATCCTCCCCTTTCCAAACCTCCTCAACGCGTAGGATGCCTTCAACCTCAACCAATGTGCACCCTCAACGTGGCATACCTGAGGGAAAAAGGAATGCCGCTTTAGATTTTCCAATCTTTAGTGCAAGTCATAGCTCGGGGTACATGTCATGGGAAGAGACTAAAAAAAGTGTCCCCACATCTGATATCTTTCATACTGCACGCGACCCTTATAAAAGGCAAACTTCTCCTTCCGAGGTCATCTGGAGACCTGATTTAGAACGCCAAGGATCCTTTATTCGAGGTGCAGGTGCTCCTAAAGGACGCGATGATGGCGGTATTAAGTATAACGGTTTTACAAAAGATAAAGCGGGTCTTGACGACAAGGATTATACTACGCCAATTCGACCCCATTCCTTACCTAGCAGTGCCCGAAATGGCCCTCAGGCCCACAATAAAGATGCACCCGAGGATCTTTTTCGCTTTGATGCCTATCGAAACTACCTAGAGGCCACTCATCGGTATCTTTGGGGGCTACATCACGAAATCTTGTCGACCAGCAAGAAACTTCAACATATACACATTTCCACACCGCGGCGACGACATGAATCCTCCTCTAGTAAAAACACGGACTTCACGAGAGGTATAAATTATCAGGGCTTTCATGAATCCTCCGCGTCAGCCCCAAAGCCGGAGGTTTCCGGGAACCGAGCTGAGGGAGTTTCCAAACCTGTATTCAACCACACCATGCAGAATACACCGATTAGTCCCCAGGCTTCATTTCACGATTTTCCTTCCTTTACAGCCCGAAGCCCGAAAAGTCGCACGGGTGGGATGGGTTCGCGTGATGGCCACTCCGTTTGTGAAGAAGAAGTTTCCCCCTCTGTGGTCCCTAATATCCAAAATTGCGGTTTTTCCGGGCTTGCGATGGCCACATCTATAGCCAGCCGAAGAAAAAACCTCGCCCCGAGATCATCCACGCCGCCTGAATGGGGATTAGGTCGGAAAGCCCATGAAGGGAAGTGGAGGCCGCACACCGATGTTTTTCGTGAATTTCACGCGTCTCCTGGACAAGGTCCAACTACAACTCCGATGGTTTGGCATGTCGACAGCAATGAGCCAGGGACGTTTGGAAATAAACGGGGAAGTGCTTTTCAGAAAGACTTTGCTCATTCATCGGGTAGAGAGGATAAACACGTGGGGGCCACCATGTCATCCGGGGAATATCATTCTTTCTCTGAGGGAAGTAGACCAGTAAATTCTCGGCGACTAGGGACTACAGTGCCGGGTCCAACTATTTATTCCCCACAAAGTTTATGGACCGAATTAACAAGTGAACACACAAGGGGGATTCGAAACGCTTCTGAAAATGATTACAGGAATACAATAATACCGTTAGTGGGTCGGAATAAAGGAGAATCAAATCCCAGAGGCCAATTTCATGTATCACCTCGCGTATGCAGTCGAAAACCTTATTCTTTCAAATCCTGCATCGACTCCGATTCTGATCCATATCCATTTTCAATCTCCATTGAGACGGCACGAAGGAGTGCAGGGAAAGGAAACGAAAATAAGAAATGTCGTTTCAGTTTGCCTACAAACCTTCTTAATTAGCATAACGCTTACTTTTACAACGTAAATAGTGTATTGTAGGAGTGACTTTTCCTAACAAATCGATTGATTCTCTTCTGACTATGTATTCCATTGAAGAACTCAGCAAAAAGCGTCTCTGTTTTCGAGAGCGGTAAACTACGCCAAAATCCTATTCCTAGAGAACACAATATCAATGAATGTACAGCAACTCTCAACAGTGATATCCGGATTAAAAAAAATGATCTAAGCGAAAGCATCTAAAAAAGAGAGATACGAAAATATAGTTCCAGACTATCGATAGCATTAAAGCTGTCGTTCGGATCTCCTAATTGTGTATACATTACTTTTCTTATTGATTTAAAGCCTTAGAAGCATAAATACTCAACCATGAGTGTATTCAATGGAAAAATACATCTCAAATGGGTTATCCCTCTGTTAGATTGTTGACGAAGAGTTTCCATGATATTCTCTAATTTTTTTTGATGTTGCTTGTTAACAGTCTATCATATCTATACATATAGCGATCCCTACCTCTACTTTTTACTTTCTTGATTTTCCCAAGTAAGTTTTCAGTCTTTCTGGTCATTGGTTTCCTTCTAATATTATTTATGATATCTATTTATCTATATATGAATATATAGATAGATACCAATAGATTCTGCAACAAACATTTTCGATATCTTACCATTTATTTTTCTGTGCAGATTTCCATAAAGAAGGAAAATCTCTCTCTCTTTCTATATATACATCCATAAATCACCGCATTATCTACGCACACACCTAGATGGGCTGTTGTCACAGTCGAAAACGCACCCCCAATGGGGAAGACCCCTCGGTGGCCCCCAAATCCAAGAAGGCCGTATCCGCCAAACACCGAAAGGTGAAGCCCACGCCCTCCAGCCACGAGCAGACCGCCGCCATGGAGGCCGAGGAACAGGAAAAACGACTGGCGCAACGCGACCATCTGGAAGCCCAACGCCGGGAGCAGGAACTTCAACGGCTCCATGGGCAGGAGAACTCGATCCCCTATCACCCAAGCCCCACCACGGCGGAGGACCCCCCGGAAGACGCGGAAAAGCCCAAGATGGAGCTTTCAGGGTTGTTACAGCCTGTGGCACAGCCCACGGACAAAATTGACACTCCCCCTACTGAAGTTGTACCGAGTAAGTCTAGTCCTTCACCCATGGAGGAGGATAACAGTTTGTATAGTGAGGCAGAGGGGGAAGGCAGAACAGGTCTAAAGGATGTGGCGCTACCCCTTGCTGAGCCGTCAAGTGCAGGGGCGACTCCTCCCAAAGATAGTAGTACGGAGATTCAAATGAATTCGGACACCCCTTTTTCACCTCCTACCGGGCCGCTTAACGAGCTAGAAAATGAAGATTGTAATAGTCCCATCAATGGTAATGAAACGGACATTGAACATGCCAATTCAGGTGGGAATGAGACAGAGGTGGTAGCGGAACACAAACCCATTGATTTTGTAAAAGGAGTCGACCTATTCTCCCCCAACTCTAAAAATGAACTTTCAGCCATTTTGAATGGAAAGCTAAATGAATCCCAGAGGGCATGGAGCACGGCGACTATCGAAGAAGTTCTGTCACCGTATGACAAACAGCAGCGGCAGTTGCTATTAATGGAAGAATTCCATGATATGGGCTCTGATCATACACTCCAGGACCTCAACGATGTCCAAATTATTATGCGGAGACTGCCGCCACCACCATCCCCAACTTCTGAAGGGGATCCCACCAAAAAGATCTTTCAAATTCAAAATGATGAAACTGAGAAAACACAGGAAACGGAGGGTTGTGTAATCCCGATTAAAGAAGTGGTGCCACTTTTGCAGGTGAGTCCAAACTCAAGTATTGCAACGTCTCAGGTGGGTGTAGAACTTGCAGAGGTTGTTGTAGGAAATAAAGAAGGGAATGAATCCTTAGCTGTTTAACCTACCTAAAGAGTGATAGTGCTCCCGATGGAACGATAAATATATAGAGATAATGACATTAACGACCACCTATTCGGAATATTGGGTGATATGATGCACAAAGAAAAGGCGTTACGTAATATTGATGGAGATAAGCAAATACCCTTTCTATTGTTGTCGGTCAAAAAAACGCGCAAAGTGCTGCCAGAACGGCTGAAAATGAATAGAGATTGTCACCGACGCATGTTGTGTCTAGAACTGAGAAGTATATTGCCCCCACAAATGCTCCTAATCATGAAATAGTGGATCCATTATAAAAGCAAGATCATCATATCGAAGGTGAAAATACATCTTCACTGGGAACCCCCCAATATGGTGTGATCACTATGAATGTGTACTCTCTGGGAGTAGAAAGGACTACAAAAGAGGTTTGACAGAGCATCATACAGGCGTAAACGGTCCCAAAAGTATTTTCGGTAAACATTATAACCTTGTAAGTTCCGGAAACACGGCTGCTGTTCTGACGCAAATATTTTCGCATTCAGCATCTCATCCAAGTGACTCTCAGACTACAGCTTTGTCCAAAGATGCAGTATGGTTTTCTATTCCTCAAGTAGATGTTGATAGGAATTCAAAGGAACTGATTAATACCAAAGAACACATTCAAGCAAGACACAGTATTCAAAACATCAAAATGTTGAAGTTCACCATTGCTTATTCAAGCAAGCGTGACATCCTTACTGGTGATAAGGAAAAGGATAAAACGCACCGATACTTACGGAAATCAGCATATGCCGGCGCTGATACAAAACTAAGTTCTGAGAACTATAATACTAAAGCAGCCGCAAAACCAGGGATGACCCCTCCACAACAGCGGTTTACTCTCATTCATCCGTTACCTTCCATGACTAACAGTGGCAACATCGACGTTGCTGACTTCTGTGGAGTAAAATTGAAATAAAAAATAATAACAAAAGGTGAATCACTCATGTATTTAAGTATAATAGCCTTTACAATATGATATATATATATATATATATATGAACATATGTTTACGCGTATGTTTATGCATTAATACAAGGGTTTAGATTTTGCTAGTTAGAATACCTAAAAAAATTGGAAAGAATATCTATTAATTGTTACTTTAGTTACTTACAGAAGCCCTACATTTAAAAGGAAAAGACTATATCCTTTCCTCTTGGTAGATTTCAGAAATATATATGCTATGCTAATACAACTGAAATAAAATATCACTACATAGTTACGATGTAGCTAAATTATAAATAAGAATCGACAAAGATGAAAATATACATTTTAGTGCCTCGTGAACCTACCTAATTCTTTGGGTGTACGTGCGTCCCTTTTTGGTTTAGGGTCAAAAGGTGAAACCACAATACAAAACCAATTAATTTTTTTTATGAATCTTGATGACGCTAGTGGAATAGAAAAAGAGAAGGCAACACGTCACTACACCTTTTGGTCTTTTATATATTTGTATGAGATTCTACCCTCCATTAGTTATGTTATGCATCCGATGGTTTCCCTTTGTCTTTTCATGGAATAACATTAAAAAAAGCATTATAATCTTTTTTTTTCACTAGTACCAATGACTACTGAATCTGATGCAGATTTATTGATGCATCAAGGTAAAAAACACACAAAAAAAGGCTTGTTTTGCTGGTATCCGAATTATGTAGATGCTGGAAATGCCTACTGCAAAGCGGCCAAAATTTATGCAGGTCTACGCTGTTTAAATAAAGCTATAAATTCGTGGCATGAAGCTGCCCATGTCTATAAAGAAGCACAAAATACATCAGCAGCTGGAACTTGCTTGGAAAGTTTAGGTGAATTTCTTATCCAAAGCGCAGATGAGGACAAAAAATTAAATGAGTCATATATCATCGGCATCGCTTGCTTTGAGGACGCGGCCGAATTGTATAAAACAGGCGGTAATTATCAAAAACACGATGATGTACTTATCAAGGCCGTTTATGCGATGCAAAAATATCTAGAACAGAGTATGAAATCCAGGAAAAACAATAGCGACGCTTCCTTTTCTACGGCCAGTTTTCGATCCACTACGGACACATATAAACGTCTTGTTCAAAATGCCCTGAAGGCTTTGGAAGCGACTTGGGATCGGGAGGACACGGTGCCGTACAAACTGCTTGATCTTTACCACGACTTCATCCTTCACGCGATCCGTCAGGGGGATATCCCAACCGCCGTGGAGACTCAAAAACGGATGTTAGGGTTCGTTTCCACCCCTTCATTGAACGGGACCTACGATGAGTCCAAGAGTGTGATTGCCCGCATGAAATGCCCCAATCAGGCCGCCAAAACGGGTCTGGAGATGGTGGTACTGTGCTTGAGCCGCGATGGCGATGATGTTTGGGCGCGGCAGGAGTTTGACCGGATGGCCACTTTATCGGGCTTTCGAAATTCCGCCGAGCAGAAGGCCGCCGGGGCGCTCTTAGCGGCCTATGAGGAGCGCGATCCTGATCAGCTTCAGGATGTCATCAAGAATTATTCAATTTTCAACTTTATCTTGGCAGATGTATCGCGTATGGTAAGAAAGCTGAGGATTGAAAATGGTTTTGCAGAGGCCTCGGGTGCAAACGATCCCAACAAAGTCAACACCGCGACACCATATTTTGACGATGAGAAGGAAGAAATAGACCCTGAGGACTTGCGATAATATTGGATGAGATGAAAAACTGGAGAAAAGACAATATTTTGAAAAGGAAAATAATATTTTACAAAATATGTATATAATTCTATATGATGAGCTTTTTCTTTGATCGAAAAGCATAATCTATAAAAACGAGTCTTGTTATCTTCAGATTAAAAAAGGTTATCAAAAGCACAATGGAAGCTTGAGTGTTATTTCTTTTTTTTTCACAACGAGATAGGGTTTTGATAAATCCAAAAACCTACTCACATTATTCGTTAATAAATAACGTCTGTATAAAATGTTAAGGAATACTATGCACTGTTTAGTAATTTTTTTAGATGCCTTAATGTCAAAAATTATATTCATCTGTACTATTCAGTTATATAAATAATTCATGCAAATTCTAAATTCTTCTTTCTTTTGTGATATCGTAGTGTAATTTCATACAGATGATTTAGTTTTTCTGGCTATATGCTGCTTCCACTTGAAGAGGCAATGATTGTATCGAAAGCTATATGTTCTATCACGTCCTATTAGCGGGATATATAAAATTTGACAATTTATTCTGCCAGTTCACAATTGGGAGGCAGAGAATCTAAGGGCTAAAACAACAATATGAAAGGCTGACTTTCCCTTTCAAAATCAAACTAGCGGTTATGACCTTTCACGTAATACAGTCTGGGAGAAATCACGTGTTAAATATGGAATGCGTAACGAGTAAAACCATATAACAAATAAAATGGAAATTACTCTATGATGTACCGTATTTATTTTATGCCCTTTTTCGAACCTGTACTAACAGTATCCTCTTTTTACTTCTTCTGATCACGTTTTTTCTCTCCTTTTTGTGCACTTCAATTTATGTAGCTTTCCCAAATACAGATAGATATAATCATTACTTTCGAGAAGGAGTTGTCTCAAAACAGAAAAAAACACAATAGCATAATCGAAATGAAATTGTTGTCACAACGACTAAAAAAATGGGAAGGAAGTATCGTGCTACGAAATCTCACGGTATTACTTCTGTTGGGATTCCTCAGTATTTTGTTGACGGTGTGGTATCACTACCCACACAAGTCCGCGGTAGTG